TTTTCCAATTCTCATTTGATTTCCACCTGCTATTACGAGATGTACAACCAAACAAAATAGGACTTAAAATAGGTTATATCCCACATTACTCAATTGTTTTCAGTTAGGAGAACTTTTTTGGATGATTTCACATGTTTAACGGGCATCGTTAAGTTAAAAATTATTGTGTTGAAAGTTAGCCTGTTGCCGCTAGCAGCTAGAGAGATCGAGGCACAAGAAACAAGGATTTACTGGCTCCATCTGTTTGCGTTTTGGGTGTGTCTTTACCCATATTTTATTCACCATCTCAGTGTTGTCTTTCCTCCTCAGCCATGTTCTCCTAAGCTGCCTGCTTATATTAGATAAGATGAGCTGCTCAGGCTTGTTGTTTGGTTGTGACAGCCTTTTTTCACGCATCCCTCCGGCTCTTTTACAAACTCTATTTCCCAGAACTCCCTGGGCAATCATGTGGCTGTGGCTCCACCACCATCAACCAATCAACGCTCATCCTCACCTGAATATGGATCTGTTTCACCTGTTCTCTGTATCATGTGATCATACCTAGTTAGGATATAAGCCCAGGCTTTAGACTAGATCTATGTGAGGTATTGCTTCTTGCTTGTTGTCATTGCCTTACTGTGTATCAGACTTTGCTTCTGTATTTTCGACTTTGCCCCTTTTGTACCCTGTTTGCTGGTTCCTGTCCCTGTTATGTTTTCCTTTTTCTTATTTGGATCTTCCTGGCTTTGACCTCTGCCTGTGACCACGATTTCAGATTGCGTATATATATATATCCCTTCCTGGATCGGGGCCTTGTCGAGGCGGAAGGGCTTGTGTGGTCTAGGGATCTTCAGAGCTAAGTCGTTGGGAGCGGTATGCTCCTGGTAGGGTCTCCCAGGTCTGGAGTGAAGACCCAGACTAACTTGATCCAAAAATCCTCTATAAAAAATGGACACGGACAATCGTGTACCCTGCCCGGGAGAGGGTCACCGGGACCTACCCCTGGAGCCAGGCCTGGGGGTAGCATCCTCCGGTGAGCGCCTGGTGGCCGGGCAGCCCACGTAACCCGGCCGGGCTCAGCCTGAAGAGGCAACGTGGGGAGACCATGTGGGCCCACCACCCGCAAGGTCCAGCATGGGGGAGCAGTGCAGTGTCATATAGGCAGTGGGAGATTGCAGGGGGGGCCCTGGTGGCCTAGGCCCCTGCAGCAGAAACTGGCTCTTGGTACGTGGAATCTAACCTCACTGGGGGGAAGGAGCTGGAGCTTGTGCGGGAGGTTGAGAGTTACCAACTAGATATAGTTGGGGTCACCTCCACCCACAGTGTCGGCACTGGAACCAAACTCCTTGATAGGGGTTGGTCCCTCTCCTACTCCGGGGTTGCACAGGGTGAGAGGCGCTGGGCGGGTGTGGGGATACTCACGAGTCCCCGGCTGGCAACCGTGCAGTTGGAGTTTGTCCTGGTAGACGAGATGGTCGCCTCAGTGCGAATTAAAATCGCAGAGAGGAAAACTCTGATTGTTGTGTGTGCCTATGCACCAAACAGCAGGTCGGAGTATTCGGCCTTCTTGGAGCAAGTGGGGGGCAAAAGGGTCCCACCTACAGACTCCATAGGCTTACTGGGAGACTTCTATGCTCATGTTGGCAATGACTGGGAGACCTGGAGAGGCGTGATTGGGAAGAACGGCCTGCCCGATCTAAACCCGAATGGTGAATTGTTATTGGACTTCTGTGCCAGGCATGGATTGTCCATAATGAACACCAAGTTCGAACACAAGGATGTTCATGAAGTGTACATGGTACCAGAGCTCCTTGGGTCATAGGTCAATGATCGACTTTGTTGTCGTTTCATCTGACTTGGGACCATATGTTCCGGACACTCGGGTGAAGAGAGGTGCTCAGCTGTCAACTGATCACCATCTGGTGGTGAGTTGGATCAGATGGCAGGGAAGACCGATGGTCAGACCCGGTAGGCCCAAGCGAATAGTAAGGGGGGGGTTGGGAACGACTGTCGGAGGCCCCTGTTCGGAAAGATTTAAACTCCCACCTCCAGGAGAGCTTTTCTGATGTCCTGGAGCAGGTAGGGGACACAGAGTCTGAATGGACCCTGTTCAAAACCTCCATTGTGGAAGCTGCCAAGCGTAGCTGTGGCCAAAAGCTTGTTGGTGCTTGTCAGGGCGGTAACCCAAGAACCCCCTGGTGGACACCAGGGGTGAGGGAGGCTGTCAAGCTGAAGAAAGAGGCCTTTAGGGACTGGATGGCCCGAAGGACTCCTGACTCAGCAGATAGGTACCAACAGGCAAAAAAGGTGGCAGCCGCAACGGTGGCAGAAGCAAAATCCAGGGCGTGGGAGGAGTTTGGAGAAGCCATGGAAGAAGACTTTCGGTCGGCCTCAAGAAGGTTCTGGACGACTGTCTGGTGACTGAGGAGCAGTCGGGGTGGCTGCGCCCAAGCTGTATTCGGCAGGGGTGGAGAAACTCTGACTTCAAATGAGTATATTGTCGGTCGGGGGAGGAGCACTTTGAGGAACTCCTTAATCCGGGAGACATGCCTCCCTCACGGGAGTCAGGGCTAAAGGCTTCTGGCGTGTCAAGCTCCATTTTCCTGGTGGAGGTCACTGAGGTAGTTTGCAAGCTCTTCAGTGGCAAGGCACCGGGGGTGGATGAGATTTGTCCGGAGATGCTTAAGGCTCTGGATATTGTGGGGCTGTCGTGGGTGGCACGCCTCAGCAATATTGCATGGACCTCGGGAACAGTACCCTTGGACTGGCAGACCGGGGAGGTGGTCCCTATTTTTTAAGAAAGGGGACCGGAGGGTGTGTGCCAACTATCGGGGTATCACACTGCTCAGCCTTCCTGGGAAAGTCTATGCCAAGGTGCTAGAAAGGAGAATTCGATCGATAGTTGAACCTCGGATTGAGGAGGAACAATGCAGATTCCGTCCCGGCCGTGGAACAATGGAACAGCTTTTCACCCTCTCACGGATTGTTGAGGGGGCATGGGAATTTGCCAACCCAGTCTACATGTGTTTTGCGGATTTGGAGAAGGTTTACGACCGCGTTCCCTGAGATATCTTGTGGGCGGTCATCTGGGAGTATGGGGTGCCAGGGCTGCTACTCCGGGCCATTCAATCTCTGTACTCCCGGAGTGAGAGCTGTGTTTGTAGACTCGGCATTAAGTCGGACTCTTTCAGTGTTAGCGTTGGACTCCGCCAGGGTTGTGCCCTGTCTCCACTCCTGTTCATGATATTCATGGACAGGGTGTCAAGGCGTAGTCATGGTCAGGAGGGCATTATGTGCGGAGGCCGGGGGGTGGCGTCTCTGCTATTTGCAGACGATGTTGTTCTTTTGGCTGGTTGACGATGATGATGATGATGATGACATATATATATATATATATATGTATATGTGTGTATGTATGTATGTATGTATGTATAATTTTGTTGTCCTGTCTAGTATTTCTGGCGACCTGCCCAGGGTGTATTCTGCCTTCCACCCAATAACCGCTGGGACTGGCTCCAGAGCCCCCCGTGACCCTGAAGGATAAGCGGCTTAGAAAATGTGTCTATGTATTTATTGTATTTTCTGCACTCATGTCCTGTTGTCGTGTTTTTGCACTCTATGTAGCCCTGTGTAAAGTGCTTCTGTTGTGTGTTTCATCACGAGGCATGAAAAACAACATTTCATTCAATGGATACAAATTAAAATAAGAAACGAGAAAGACCACTTGACTTGACCTTAGAGAGGCCATGACTTACATACATACGTACATACTACGTCAAGCTTTTTTATTTTTAAAAAGGGTTACCTTCTCAAAGTGACCTGCAATGCAAAGTCCCAAATTCTAACATAACATTTACATGCTCATCATTGTTAGCAGAAAATGTTTCAAAATTCCAGTGCTAGAGTCAGTTGAATTACCTGTAGGTGCAGTGTTTACAGATGATGTCAAGGGTTTAAAACAGCTTTTCAGGTTGTTTTATTCTAATCCACATTAACCTCACATGAGTGAACAGGCTTGTCAGCGTATGGTGAGAGTGAGGTCACTAAGCTGTTGTATGGATGGGTCTGGAGCCTGTCAGCTTTAAATCCTGAACATTCCTACATGATAATTACAGCCAGCTGTAGCTGTAAGATGTAGTGAGATCTATGCAAACTGTATCACTACAATACAAGCTGTTGTGATTTTGTAACTGTAAACATGAAAATGTGACAAAGATTCCTTTTTCATACAACACACTTTTTCTTTAAGTGAAACCTTGCACTTTGTTTATCAGTGTTCTTTCAAACATTTCATATCATGCTCTATAACAAGAAAATACAGTGGCTTTTTAGTATTAATTATTTTTATTATATTAAATATCTTAAAAACAAGACTGTGAGATTTTTCTATTTCAAAATTTTCTGCAATTGTAAGTTGTGTGTTTCCAGTTTCACATGTGCAGCATTAGGAGTCTGAAAGTCAGACACATTATTTTCAGTTTAGTTCTACTTCCAACATAGTTCCACTTGCATGGTGGTAAACTGAACACCTATTTCAAATGTCTTTTCTCTGAAATAATAACAATTAGACATATTTTTATGTCTCAGCTGTCAGACACAATCGGTTATATGTTTGATTTGTATGTATTTCTGTAACTACTACAGCTACTGTTTGTGAGCAGATGGAGGTGAAAGATGCTGTACGCATGGATATATTCACTATACACTGATGAGGCAAAACATTATGACCACCGGCACAATATACTGTTGGTCATCTCACACTACCATGCTTTTTGCTCATTGTTTTCAGAGCGGTCCACTTATTCAGAGTTTTAGATAAAATGCGACAAAATCTCATTTCTCTTTTATATCTTTCTGTGTCAGATTTAGATCTTTACCCACTTTTACAGTAAGAAGGCACATGTAACAAAAGTACAGTAACACAAACAACAGAGAAACAGCAATTTCAATTATTGTTTATTGAAACTGCTGTAATAACATTTTCAATAACTGCAAGAAAAGCTCATTTCTAACTCACATATGCCTGAGGTGAGTTATGTATGTAGATATGTAGAAGCACACTGAGAGTTTTGCTTCTGGTAGTCAAGTCAAGTCAAAGTTTATTTATATAGCGCTTTTTACAACAGGTGTTGTCACAAAGCAGCTTTACAGAAAAATCTGGGTCCAAGCATCCATGAGCGTCGCCAACGGTGACAGTGGCAAGGAAAAACTCCCTAAGAGCAAGAGAAAGAAACCTTGAGAGGAACCAAGACTCAAAAGGGGAACCCATCCTCCTCTGGTCGACACCGGACAGCAAACAGCGTTAGTATAAAATATTAGGACACAAAACAGGGAAAAACAGGCGGAGCAATGGTTAATAAGATAGTTTTAGTTTATGTGGCAGCAGGAGGGTCAGTTCATGAGGGTGAGGTTTGCACAGCATTCTGCAGCATGAAGCAACCTGACAAGCTATTGAACACCAATTTTTTTTATTTGGAAAAGAATGTGTTCATGTCTAAATTAGCATCTGTTTGTACTGAGAGACCCAGTTAAAACAAAAGTTTCAAAAAGTAGCAGATGTTTGCTAATATAAGTGTGTAATTTATTGGGCTATTTAAACTTTGTGTTCAAACATCTCATGATTCATAACAAAAAATGTAGTTTCGTTTTTTTAATGAATGTTCTTTTTAATGTTTTAGCTATTTTAAAATAAGAGTACATGGAGCCAGACAGCAGGAATAAACTTCACATTTAAGTGTCTTTTTATTGGAAACCATATGCCCAAAGTGTATGTGTGATTTCTTATGTATGTTTCAACCACACATCTAAAGTAACTTATTTTATATAGTCATCACTACATTTCTACTACTTCATTCACAGTTGAAATTTTGTGTGTTTCCAGGTCCATATGTGCAGCTTCAGGGCTCTCAAAGTCAGACACATCCAGGACATCCAGTCTGCGGCTCATTAACCTTGCTTTTCTAATGCATTAAAGATCCACCCGCATGGCGGGAACCTGAACACATTTTTCGAATGTGCTCTCTCTGAAATAAGATCAATTAGACATATTTTTACTTTTTAGTTGAAAGCAACAATGGGTTATAGGTTATTTGGATGTGTTTCTGTAACTACTGCAGCTTCTGTTTATGACTAGTAGTATTTGTATTATTCATGGATAAATTCAGAACTTACATCTTTGACATCCATTTGTCTCGCACAGTCAATTAGTTCTTCACCATTTACTGGCTTACACACAACACAGTCAATCCAGGGCTTTAAAAAGAAATGAGAAAGTTTGTGTTAGTAAGTGATTTATACTGCCTGTCCCTTTTTTACCTCACATGTTTAGAAACACAATCTGTTTACACACTGATTAATAAGTAAGTAGAAGAAAATGGACCTTGGCTAGTCAGTGTTTAGTACTTTATCATTTGACTTTGCATTCAGCCAGTAAAGATATCATACACACCGTTTTAGATTTTTTTGTAACACACTCTTTTCTATGTCCAAATCCTTTCTGTTCATCCTTCCTGCATGTTGTGACCATCAGACGCACATTTACATAGACGTCATCTTTAATCTGGGAAAAGCGTAAAAGTGTCCACATTAGTCTCCAAATAAAACAGTAAAATAAAGACATAACAGTAAACAACAAATCACATATTCATTACAAATCTTGTACCATGAGGAGAGGTTTGGAAATGGTTAAAGAAACACATTGATAGATAGAAAAATCACTATTTTTTGTATTAATGTTGTATTATATACATATTTTCCCCCAATATGTTAAACTCAGCCAAAAGAATATAAAGTGCACATAAGAATTTGCAGAACATTCTATATTTAGGTTCTTCTCTATTTCTAGATTTTATTAGAGCGCATGTTCTGTTTGGCAAACAAATGCCTGATCATTAAGGTTATGAATTTTTTGTGATGTTCACATTCTGATTACCGACTGTTGGTAACTGATCTGAATTCTGAAATCTGCAGCTGATTAACCATAAACATTCTGACATAAATAAGTAGAAGTTTGCTCAACTTTACAGTTACATCAAATTATTTCAGCTGCAGAAAATAACAGAGAAAAAAAACACTTACTTTCAGGTTTGGCAAGAGGCTTTCATAGGCAACATGATAAGGACCCCCAAATTTTCTATTGGCATTGTATAGTGCCTTGTCGATGTGTGTTCTGTATAAATCAGGCAAGCTCTGGTAGTTATTCCATCCCTGAGCAGAAACCAGCAGAGTCACTGCCGCCAGCGGCAGCAGCTTCAGCACAGCACTCATCTTGCTTGTTGTGTGTGGATCGGAGTTCTGAGGTTTTTCTCAGAATCTGAATCTTTATAATGGGCTGAATGTTGGGAAAAATATCCCCTTTAGTTTTTACACAGGTAGCTTCAGTGTTGTGAAGCTCTTTTAGAGGGGAAATGGAAGCAACCCAAGCAAAAGGACTCCCCCATTCAAAACCCCAACCACTCCATTATTATCTGTAGAGCTGTAGTGACACACTTTCAGATCCAAAATTTCAGACCTGTACTTTCAGCTCCGTACATGTTCACCTTCAGTGGCATATTTCAGCCACACTTTCAGCTTTATGAAAAATAAACATCTTACTGTAGTAATACAAAAGGAAACTATAAGATTCTGTAATGCAGTATTACAATAATAATCTATAATATTTACTTGTGTAGCATCAGGTAGTAAATATAGTAGCCATGTGATGAAGGTTCTCTGCAGACAGATGCTTCTCCTAAACAGTTGAACTGTTGAGACTTCCCCTTATCACGGGAAGGGTGTTCTTAGGCAAGACGCGAAGTGAAGTGCCTAAAACTCCATTCCCTGTGATAAAATCACAGTAGCGCGCGGTCTCAAGTGTCTTCTTGCTTTGATTAAACAGTGGCCAACATGAAATATGATAAATACACGTTTTTCAGAAAATAATTTAAGTTATTATGACTAATAATCGACATAAACAAGTATTCTGCCGAGAAATGTAGTTCCTTTAGAGTATGGTATCATTGCCAAGCAATAATGTACTGCTGAATGAGGAGAACGTTTGGTTGCCCATCGCAGCATATTGCAGTCATTTCAAGATTTTTTGTCATATAACATATGAACATATGATAACACAGCACTGTTTAATGCAAGAACCTTCGATGTGAGTCTTATTTAGCATTAATCCAGCGGTGCCCTCTTCTCATGCTGGGGCTGAATCTCAAATGGCTCCCTGCTCCCTACATAGTGCGCTACTCAGAAATATAAATACTGGATCCTGCACCCCAACCGTGCAAAATATAGCCAAGAAATAGTCATTTTGGACCCAGCCACATCCATACTTGACAAATGATGCACTATTTGGCTGTAGAAGCTAGAAGTTATAAACTTTCATTTAGGGAATACAGAGCCATTTGGGATTCAGCCTGGGTTCGATGCTACTTCTGACTGAAACACAGACATTTGAAGCATGTAATCCATTTAAGTGACATTTTTAGACTTTTATACTGCTGATTTACAGTTAATCAGTACTTTAATTCAAGCCTGTGATATTAATTATAGGAGTTGTTTAGCCTGTTAACTAGCTGACCAGCCTAGTTCTAGTTAAGAACTTAAGTTGCCAGCCCCTCAGTTTGAACAAAAACAGGTTCTTACTTCATCAATATACTCAGTGGTCCATGCGAGCAGCATGAGAGAAGATTCCATTAACAGTGCAAGGTTTTTTTTCATGCTGTGGCACAGTAAGACAGAGTTCAATAGTTGTGAGGCGGTCATAGGTGTACATATATCGTGGATTTTACAACGGCTTCGAACGTGGCTCAGCCAATCAGATTTTAGGACCGGAACTATGTCTTTTTTTTATGTGAAATAGTTCATTGTGGACAAACTGACTTACTGATTTATTTACAGTAATAATGATAGCATGACCAGGGGTAATGATGTTTACAACATATATAGTTGTTTTATTTGCTATTCAGAATGACCAGTGAACCTACATGTGTGTTCTGAGATTTTATATGTAACGTTGACAATGTCAAAACAGTGCTAAATCCAAAAATTCAAATGTGTTTGAGAACTTACAACACCATGCATGACCTCTCTACCATGAGTTGTATTTTCAATACATTATAGGCAAAAATCTTGTCACAAAAATATCATAAAACAACATCTCAGTGGTCTATTTAAGCTAGTCGGTAGTCTACAGATTCAGGATTTGTGTTTATAACTTTGTAAAATGGGGATAAAAAGTGGAGCTGAGAAAGACGAAGCTGAAAAGTGCTAAAATATATATTTTTTCCACAAGGTCAGAAAAACTTTTAGCCACCTTTACTTACATGACCACTCTCTTGTTTTGCTATGAGATATCGCATATAGCAATTAGTGTTTTTATCTTAACCAATGTTTTTAGTAAACAAGTTATGTTTTTAGTCTTTTTTGTTCTCTCTATGTAGATTCTTTTTCTGCCTGCTTTAGGAGGAAGTGTAAATATTTAATAACTACTAAGCTCAATCTTACTAGTTTGTGTGGTGCAACCAGAGGAATGACAATAAAGACCACTGGACTTGACCTTATGGAGGCCATGATTTACATACATATGTACATACTACATTAAGCTCTCTTACAACTCCATTTTCAAAAAAGTTGGGACGCAGTGCAAAATGTGAATAAAAACAAAATGCAATGATGTGCAAATCATTTAAACCCTATATTTGATTGTAAATAGTACAAAGCCAACAAATTAAATGTTAAAACTGAGAAATTTCATTGTTTTTTGAAAAATATATGCCCATTTTGAATTTGATGCCAACAACACATTCCATTGCAGGGGCAACAAAAGGCTGGTAAAGTTGTGTAATGTAAAAAGAAAAACACCTGGTGGTTGATTGACAACAGGTCAATAACATGATTAGGTATAAAAAAGCATCCCAGAGAGGCTGAGTCTTTCAGAAATAAAGATGAGGAGGGCTTCACCACTCTATGCAACAAATCAAAAATAACGTTTCTCAACATGAAATAGCAAGGAACTTTTGCTTTTCATCATCCATGGTACATAATAACATTAAAGATTCAGAGAATCTGGAGAAATCTCTGCAATACAAAGAAAATACAAAGAGGAAACTACTGTACATAAACAGGATCCAGGAATGCTGCCACCTTCTCTGAGTATGGGCTTATTTAAAATGTACTGAGGCAAAAGACCACTCAGCTTGTTATCAGTGCACACTTCAAAAGCCAGTATTCATGATGGTGTAGGGGTGCATTAGTGCACATGGCGTGGATGACATGCACATCTGTGAAAGCACCATTAATGGTGAACAATATATACAGGTTTTGTCAACATATGCTGCCATCCAGACGACGTCTTGTTCAGGGAAGGCCTTGCTTATTTCAGCAAGACAATGTAAAAGCACATTCTGTATGTATTACAATAGCCTGGCTCTGTAGTAAAAGAGTCTGGGTGCTAAACCGGCCTGCCTGCAGTCCAGACCTGTCACCCACTGAAAACATTTGGTGCATTATGAAATGAAAAATACGACAAGGAGACCCCGAACTGTTGAGCAGCTGAAATCTTCTATCAAATAGGAATGGGAAAACATTTCACTTTCAAAACTACAGCAGTCGCTCTCCTCCGTTCCTGAATGCTTACAGAGGGTTGTTAAAAGACAAGGTGATGAAATACAGTGGTAAACATGCCCCAGTCCCAACTTTTGTGAAACGTGGTCCTGGCATCAAATTAAATCCTGAACTTCAAATCCTGAACATTCTTATATAATAATTACAGCCAGATGTAGCTGTAAGGTGTAAGATGTTGTGAGATCTATTCACATTGATCACTACGATACGAGCTGTTGTGATTTTGTGATGCTTGTTTTTTTGTCCTTTTTCACACATAAAAAAATAATTACACAATATTATTATAAATTGAAATAATTCAATTAATAATGAATTTTAGAAAGTAAACATGAAAATGTGAAAAAGATTTTCCTTTTCAGCCGTCAGACACAATATGTTATATGTTTGATTTGTATGTATTCCTGTATCTACTACAGCTACTGTTAGTGAGCAGACTGAGGTGAATATACATATATATATATACATATATATATATATATATATATATATATATATATATATATATATATGTATATTCACCTCAGTCTCTGCGTACTCGTCACCACCCCCGCTCTCTTTTCAGTGAGTCAGATGAATTGTCTCAGCTCACAAATTAGAGTCGAATCTTTCGGCTCCCAAGCAGCTCTTCGTTCTGTAGAACAGTTCTAGTTTTTTGTCTCCAAAATTAGCTATATTAGCCATATTGTCATATAATTTTCAATAAAATCTTTATCTGCACTTTTAAAAAAGACATTTCTTCAAGGGTTAAGCAAAAGGAGCGGTTATTTTTAGAACCATGAGTTGCATATAGAACCATTTTATGCTTCATGGTGCTTTGCATGGTGAAATAGCACCAAAAAGGGTTATTCTTTAGTTACAAGCTTGACATCAAAACAATAGCAGAACCCTTTTTGGCGCTACATAGAACCATATACAACACATTCTCTCAAGAAACATTTCACTATGCGAAAAAAACATTTAAGCATGAAATTGTTCTATATAGAACAAGTTCTAAGTAGAACAATTCCCCTTACTAGAACCCTTAAAGAACCATTTTTAATCCTTCTAATTGTTTAATTAAACTGCATTACATGTGCTGTTTACAAAAACTGAATTAAGCCACATGTTAAGGAGTTTCACTGGATGAATTTTGAGAGGCAGTGATCACAAGATAAGCAGACAGGAAAAATGTAGGCAAATCCATCAACCAGTTATCAACAAAGATGAATTAAGTAAAATAAAAAATCTAAAGAACTAAAGAGGCACTTTTGAGAACACATCTAAGATTCAAATGAAAATCACCAAGAAAGAAATCTGACAAACAAACACAACAAGCAGTACGTTTGGGGATAATGAGGGGACGGAGGCGGAATGTCCCCAGGAGATTTGCGCCAAAGAACTTGTACTTTGTGCTTCGCAGCCCTTCCCAGAGAGGATAAATGTGATGATTGAGAGCTTGGTGAATGATGTGTCTTTTGAGAATGTAAGTGAATTATCTACCATTGTCATCATATCATCATGTGTATAATGTTGATTTCCATTTGAGACCTCAAAATTGAGTTGGACCTTCTTTTATTTCACAATAAAAATAAAGATTGACAGAATTTGTTTCTAGTCTTTGTTCCCCCAGTCCTGTCTCTGCCAATTACCACAAACGTATGCATGATATTTAATAATATCATTGAATCAGAATGAAAATTGCTCAAATAACTGGGTGAACCACAAGCCATGATGGTCACAACCATGATGGTCACAAACTAGAGGCATATCATTAACATAACATCTTTACCATGTATGTCAAACTGGATCAAACAAACATTCATTTAAACATACTTGAAGCTTGGAAGCATAGAACAGACATTTGAGGGACCTGACTCATTTTCAGCTTTTTTACATTTTGTTTCTGTTTTGGATTTTATTTTGCTTATTTTACAATAAGAAGTCATGTGTGACAAAAAATACAATAACACAAACAAAAGAGAAAAGGCACTTTAAAATGTTATTTTTATTGAAACTGCTGAAATATCATTTTCAATAACTGCAAGAAAAGTTTGGGTCATAAATTAAAAATTTGAATGCTTAAATTTATTTATAAGTCACACTTGCCAAAGACTGTCGTACATTTTTCTGTTTTTTGACTCAAGGCTTTCACTAAACAGGCTCAGCTCCACTCCCTGTGCGTCTGTTGAAGCACACTAAGAGTTTTACTTCTGCTACCTGACAAGCTGTTCAACACCACGGTTAACTACCTATTTGAAAAAGAATGTGTTCATGTGCAAGATAAAAGTTTTAAAATAAGTCACAAATGTTTGCTCATATTGTATATCTGTATCCGTTACTAGTTCATTAATACTTTGTGTTCAAACATATGCTGTATAACAAGAATGATTAATGATTATTCTTCTTATTGTGTTAGCTATTTTAAAATAAGAGTACATAGAACCAGACAGCTGGATAAACTTAACCTTTATGTGTCCTTTTATTCAAAGCGATATGCCCCAAGTGTATGCATAATTTCTTATGTAGATTTTAACCACACATCTATAAGTAGCTGATTTTATACAGTCATCACTACATTTTCTACTTCATCCACAGCTAGAATTTGCATGTTTCAGGGGTCTTAAAGTCAGACACATCCAGGACATCCAATCTGTAGCTCCTCATTCCCTCCTGTCTGAAACATTACAGATGTACCTCCAAGGCGGTAAACGGATGGAGTGGGACAACTACTTCGAATGTGCTCTCTCTGAAACAAGAACAAATAGACATATTTCTATTCGTCAGCAACAATGGGTTATATATTTAGTCTGATAATAATATGTGTACCTATATATCACTGTTGTTGGAAAAAATCTTTCATCTCCAAAATGATAACTTTAAAGGAGAGGGGAAAAATTGACTTTACTTTTAATGTAAGAAACTTGGACTTTTCTCCAAGTAGTTTTGGGCAATTTCTTTTGGTTTATTCATAACAAAATTTACACACAGTGTAAAGGGCAAAAGCCATTTTCAAATTATGTAAAAAACTGAAAAACAGAAATACAAGGTTGTGTTTCCGACAGCAGCGATATACTGCAGCTACTGTTCATGAACAGTGGAATGTGCATTATTTATGGATAAATTCAGAACTTACGCTTTTGACATCTTTTTGTTTCACACAGTCAATTAGTTCTTCACCATTTTTTGGCTTACACACAAGACAGTTAAACCAGGGCTTTAAAAAAGAAATGAGAAAGTGTGTGTTAGTATGTGATTTGTAGTGCCTGTTTATCTCAACATATTCAGAAACACAGTCTGTTTACACACTGATTAATAAGTAAGTAGAAGAAAATGGACCTTGGCTAGTCAATGTTTAGTACGTGCTCATTTGACTTTGCATTCAGCCAGTAAAGATATCATACACACCGTTTTAGATTTTTGTGTAACACATTCATCTCGATGTCCAAATCCTTTCTGTGCATCCTTCTCGCATGTGGTGACCATCAGAAGCACATTTACATAGAAGTTATCAGCTGTAATCTGTAAAAAGGCATAAAAGTGGCCCACGTTAGTCTCCAAATAAAAAATACACACACACACACACCACTTTTATGTATTTGTATACACTTTAGGGCAGCCATGAGGAGAGGTTTGGAAACGGTTAAGAAAATATTGATTAATACAAAAATAGTAATTTTTCTGTTATGTTGTATTATATACATTTTTTCCCCCAAAAAAAATGCAAACAAGAATTTGCAGAACATTCTATATTTAGGTTTGTTCTTTATTTCTAGATTTTATTGAGTGCATGTTGTACTTCGCAAATAAATTAGCTAGTTTTATTGACTCAGTCATTGAAGTTATACATTTTTTGTAACATGTTCACATTGATTACTTTTTGCTGGTAACTGATCTGACTTCTGCAGCAGATTAACCATAAACATTCTTCTGTAAATAAGTTGGTTTGCTTAACTTTCCAGGTCACATCATATCATTTCAGCTACAGAAAGTAACAGAGAGAAGAAACACTTACTGCCAGGGGGGATAAAAGGCTGTAATAGGCAACATGATGAGAATGCCCAAATTCTCCATTGGCATTGCGCAGTGCCTTGTCAATGTGTGGTCTTACTGAATCAGGCAGACTCCAATAGTTCTTCCATCCCTGAGCAGAAACCAGCAAAGTGACTGCCGACAGCAGCAGAAGCTTCAGCACAGCACTCATCTTGCTCGTTGTGAGTGGATCACTGAGCTCTGAGTGTTTTCTGATCCCCTCTAAAATGTTCACACAGACCACTTGAGAATCAACAGTGAAGGGGGGGGGGCTCTCCTGCTCTCCCACCACAGTTAGTTGGCAGTTGCATCCACTTGGCAGCTCTCTTTAGTCTTCCAGGAACAGTGGTGGACTTCTTTACAAATGATCTCACTGCTTTACTTGCTACAAAATCACAAATGAGAAGTGAAAACCCCCTTTACAATGACCTGAATAAATCAGAAAAATATGCCCATTAGTTTTCTTCACAGTTAGCTTCAGTGTTGTGAAGCTCTTTTAGAGGGGACATGTGAGCAACCCAAACAATTCAGTCAATGCCCCCACACTCCATTATTATCTAACTGCAGAGCTATAGTGCCTCAACTACAGACCCAAAATTTCAGACCAACAGTTTCAGCTTGGTACATGTTCACCTTCAGTGGCATATTTCAGCTAGACTTTCAGTTTTATGATAAATGAACCTGATGTTTAATTCCTTACAAAAAAGAACCATAATAATATGACAAGAAACTTTAAGATTCTGTAATATTGTATTACAATAATAATCTGTAATATTTACTTGTGTAGCATCTGGTAGTAAATATAGTTGTAATGCTGAACAAACACAGAAAGATGCTCGTGGATCTTAAAAATGAAAGTTGGTTTAATGAGAGAACAGAGACGGCAAATCCAAAAACAGTATCCAAAAACAGGCAAGAGGTCAAAAAACCAGAAAATACAAAAACACAGGCAACCAGAGCAAAAGGGCAAATCCAAAATAGTAACAGTCAAAAAACAGGCAATAGGTTCAGTACACAGGTCATGAAATCAGAAGCAAACCACTCAGTAAACCAGTGGAGTGGCAATACCTCACAAAGAGGAGAATAAACCAGGATCCTTTTAAAGTCTAAGGCAAACAGGTACATACATACATACATCATCATCTAAACCACTTATCCTTCTGGGTCACGGTGGGGTGCTGGAGCCTATCCCAGCTGTCATTGGGCGGAAGGCAGGATACACCCTGGACAGGTCACCAGTCCATCGCAGGGCAGACAGACAGACACACACATTCACACCTAGGGGCAATTTTAGCATGTCCAATCAGCCTGACTGCATGTTTTTGGACTGTGGCAGGAAACCCACACAGACACAGGGAGAACATGCAAACTCCACACAGACATGACCCTGGTCACCCGGCCAGGAATCGAACCCAGGCCATTCTTGCTGTGAGGCGACAGCGCTACCCACTGCACCACCGTACTACCACAAACGGGTACAGGTCTATTGAATTCGTATTCAGAGAACGAGGCAGAGGTCTGTGATTGGTGGAAGGGGTGATGTCATGAGGATTGAGATTCTGGGAAATGGAGTCCTGAAGCATGTTAGGCAAGGGAGGAGGACCCGGAAACGTGACAATAGTAGCCATGTGATAAGGTTTCTCTACAGACAGATGCTTCTCCTGAACAGTTAAACTGTTGAGATGTAAAAAGTTGTTCAGAGTGGATTAATGTGAAGTAGTTCATTGTAGAGAAACTGACTGACTCAGATTTGTTTTTAGATCTTTTCAGATTTCTCAGATTTCAGTTCTCCTGGCTCACTTCTCTCATCATACACTCAAAAATGTAAAACTGATGTTCGTACATGTTAAAAAAACTAATCACATTGATTAATTGAACTGAATCATTTTTAAAATGTACTTTACGTGTTAGCATTGAAAGGACGTAATTAATCTCAACTTCAAATCAGCCAGTCAAAGAAGTCAAAGCAAAGAGAATAAATTGTGTTTTCCAATTCTCATTTGATTTCCACCTGCTATTACGAGATGTACAACCAAACAAAATAGGACTTAAAATAGGTTAGAATCCCACATTACTCAATTGTTTTCAGTTAGGAGAACTTTTTTGGATGATTTCACATGTTTAACGGGCATCGTTAAGTTAAAAAATATTGTGTTGAAAGTTAGCCTGTTGCCACTAGCAGCTAGAGAGATCGAGGCACAAGAAACAAGGATTTACTGGCTCAGAGGGCTGCGATGCGATTATAAAACGATTATCGATTTACGATAATTAACGATTATTTTTTTCTCTATACAGAATTTCTATCTTCCTACTGTCTGAGGGCTTGGTAGTTTTAAAGCAAAGTATTTGTAATGATCCATAATGTAAGATGTAAGGGGGAGTATTTTGAGACTGGACGCTGAATCTCGGCTCCAAAGTGTGCAGCATAGCGCGAAAGCCCTGGTTCTCAATGACCGAGAACAGACAGCAGACAGCAGGTCACATAGCACCGAGGTCTGGCCTCGCCAGTAGCGAACAAAAAAAACAGAGATTAAGACGAACATTTGGAGGACTTATTCGCATTTATAAGCAGCACGATTGGTTAAATCTGCTGAGAGACTGTCTTTCTCTAAAAAATTGCGAAAATGAACTCGCTTCTCTTTCGAATTTTCCCGTTCCACCTTAAATGGTGCAGCAGTTACATTCGGCGCCTAAGGCAGAATTTAAGGTGAAACGGGAAAATTACAAGCTGGAGAATTAGAACCGACTTCAGCCTCGTAAAACAGCCGGATGCTGAGACATTTTACAAGAAACTCTTCTAGTTTTGAAGAAAAGTTTTCTGGCGGAGATGGAAAGAAAGCGGCTAAAGCTGAAACTTAAAGCAGAGCGAAGTAAATCTGCACTCTCGTTTATATTTTTAGCCCATACTACGACATTAATACATACTGGACATTAAATGTTGTGGCTCCCAAGCTGGTTTGATTTTTGTTGAAAGGCAAAATGGCTCTTCTTATCATTTGTGTTGTGACTCCTGACCTAACCTGGCTTTAATGCAGAGGGAGCCGGTTGATTTCTCACTCATCCAGTAGTGTTTTTGTTATGTGCCGTCACAGACTGTCCGGTCGCTGCACTTCCGCACTTCCAGTTCCGCCTTTTGCGTTCCGTCAACGTTACGTTATAAATTAAATATTTAGAAAATCAATTTTTGACGTTTGTGAATCGATTCAGAATTGTTCACGTCCGCATCGCGATGCATCTAAGAATCGAGTTTTTCCCGCACCCCTAGTCTTTACCCATATTTTATTCACCATCTCAGTGTTTCCTCCTCAGCCATGTTCTCCTAAGCTGCCTGCTTATATTAGATAAGATGAGCTGCTCAGACTTGTTGTTGTTTGGTTGTGACAGCCTTTTTTTCACGCATCCCTCCGGCTCTTTTACAAACTCTATTTCCCAGAACTCCCTGGGCAATCATGTGGCTGTGGCTCCACCACCATCAACCAATCAACGCTCATCCTCACCTGACTATGGATCTGTTTCACCTGTTCTCTGTATCATGTGATCATACTTAGTTAGGATATAAGCCCAGGCTTTAGACTAGATCTATGTGAGGTATTGCTTCTTGCTTGTTGTCATTACCTTACTGTGTATCAGACTTTGCTTCTGTATTTTTGACTTTGCCTTTTGTCTGACAATGCTGCGCTAGTTCCTTTACTGTTCACATGTTGTTTTGATGCCCATCCATCCGTGTATGATGCTCATTCATATATATATATATATATATATATATATATATATATATATATATATATATATATATATACTATTTGGGTGGTGGATCATTCTCAGCACTGCAGTAACACTGATGTGGTGGTGGTGTGTTAGTGTGTGTTGCGCTGGTCTGAGTGGATCAGACACAGTAGGCCATGACTTATACATACATACTATGTCAAGTTTTTTCTTAAAAAGGGTTATCTTCTCAAAAGTAATCTCCAAGGCAAAGTCCCAAATTCTAACATAACATTTACACTCACATGTGGGCTGTACACCTAAAAGAATTTCTGAATCAGGGACGTGCAGGGTAGACCACCATCACATGCTTGGCACTATTAGAAGAAAATGTTTCAAAACACCAGTGCTAGAGTCAGTTGACCTACCTTTACATGCCGTGTTTACAGATGATGTCAAGGGCTTGAAACTGCTTTTTAGGTTACTGTATTTTGTGATACTGGTTTTGTCCTTTTTTACACATAAAATATAAATTACACAGTGTTACATATAACTTGGGATAATACAATTAATAATGAATTTCAGAAAATAAACATGAAAATGTGACAAAGAATGCTGTTTTATACAACACGCTTTTTCTTTAAGTGATTTCAAACATTTCATATCATGCTCTTAAACAAGAAAACATAGTTGCTTTTTAATATAGTTTTCTTTATTATATTAAATATCTTAAAAACAAGACCTTGAGAATTTTCTGCAGTTGTAATTTGTGTGTTTTCAGATTCACATGTGCAGCTGTAACACAACAGAATGACGCAGACGCTCACGGGTAAAAGCAGAATGAGAAGCTTTACTGATGAAAACAAAATCCAAAATCGAAGTCAATAAACAGGCATAGGTCAGATCCAAAACGGGCAATAAACACAGAAGCACAAACATACAGGCAAACAATCTGAAAAAGGGTCAGGCAAAAGGCAAGTCGAAAACAGGGCATAAATGTCAGAACCAGAATAACACAAACAGATATGACCACACAGTGGCTCTAGAGACAGAAGCAATACCTCACAAAGAACCTATCCTACAACTCCAGGCTTTATACTAAACTAATCAAGAGCGCTGATTGGAGCGAGAGTGAGGCAGGAGTCACGTGATCCCCAAGTGGGTTCTGGGAGATGGAGTCCAAAGAGACCTCAGAGCTAAAGGGAGTCATGACAGCAGCATTAGGTGTCTCAAAGTCAGATACATCCAAGACATCCAGTTTGCTGCTCATTATTTTCAGTTTAGTTCCACTTCCAACATACTGTAGGTCATTTGTTTGAATCCCAAACAATGTGTGCAGTGTGGCAGGCTGCATTATCCTGCTGAAAGAGACCTACAATTGCCATGAATTGGTTTACCTGGTCCACAATGATTTTTACGTAGGTAGCATGTATCAAATTGATGTCCATGAATACAGACTCACACCAGCTTGTCTTTTAGGTATGTGGCATGTGTCAAATTGATGTCAAATTGATGTCCACATGACATCA